AATTTTGTAGTTGATAGTTTTGGTTGTATGGATGTACTTTATAATGAAATCAAAGAAGAAATTTTTGTAGCATTCTTCTTTGCGTAAAGGCGCTATGAATTCACTGTCCCTTGGAAGGGACATTCGGGTGTAACGACATGAAAAATGAATTTTTTATCTTGGCATCTTGTTAGCGTGAATCATTCTGTGATCACTCGCTACACATCTGAAGATGAGTGAATGAAGAAAAAAGATGTAACCAGTACTGTTGTGCCGTCGCCGCCAAATGTGGATGCATTTTTCTCTGATCGAGATAAAAAGTCCATCTAAGTGCGTTTAAAATACTGAATAAAATTGAGACGCGTCTAAACTACCTTCAGCTTTTTAAAAAGCAAGATGCGTCCGAACATACTTTTCTCTCACTGAGATAAAAAATCTCGTTTAGAAGCGTCCTTAGGACCATCTTGATTTGAAAAACGTGTTCGGACACGATGTTTTTGGAAAAATTAAAGAAAAATACGTCTGAACGTTTGTTTCTATGGAAAATTTTTCCAGGGAGTAAAGAATTGAAACTCATACTAGTATACTAGGACAAAAAAGGAAGTTCGGAATAACAATGAAAAAAATACAAAATTCATGCCGTTACACCCGTATGTCCGTTCCAAGGGCCATCATGTATCCACGCAGCAAAGCAACATCGCTTAAATTCAGATATAACAAGGATGTACCGAAGAACTGTAAGCTTCAATGCAGTAGTTATTTCAGCTGCAGCTATAATAAAATTGTCTTCGGGTGTAAAGGGTTAACTATCCACTATGCTACGCTTCAACTAAGCTTGATAGAAAGTTTCTTTGTCTAACATCAGTGTAGACTAACCACAAGATGGTTTTTTATAAATAGCAAAGACGAAGATAAGGGAGAAAAATATACACAACAATATACACCGCCAAATATTGAAAAACCGAATGAACAATTGGACTACATGTCTTGACCTTCAAATAAAATTGAAAAAGTCAATTCAAATGAATCAGATCAATAATACTGATTCAGATTTGCATAATATCATCAAGGATGATTTAATATTTAAAAAGTTTTCCAAAAACTTAAAATTATTAGAAAAACAAAAATTACAATCATGTATCGGCCAAAATAATCGTAACGGAAGCACGTTTTTCCCGCTTCTAACTGTAATTTCTCGATCATTTGACAAGATAACGCTTAAATAACTAAAATACAGAATCACATGCATTTTACACATAACTATGTTTTCCTAGTTCGATTTTTTTCCATCAAGAATGAACGAGGGTTAAATTAAAATGACATCGTTGGGATCTCAAAACATTTCTGTATCCAATCATGTGCTCAAAACCTAAAACCTATTGTAACAAATAGGAGAAAAACCCAAATGAAAACAACTTTTTTGCCAAAACTTAGATATAAGAGGCGACCATATATGAATGGTTCATATATTGAGTGGCAAAAAGAACGACAAGCTGGATGTATACCGCCAATATCAAAAAGAATACCTGTACAGATATAACGTACAGACTTATTAAAGAAATTAATGTAAATTATGAGGATCGAAAGAGTTCCCTTTCTTGTGTTGATTTCTTGGTCTGTTGATTGACAATTGTCTAGATAGAAACAAAAGTGGAGCATACATATTCTAAGACTCATAAATAGAGTCTGGAAAAAGCAATAGAAAGGAATATTTTTTCTTATACTAGCATTGGTACAAGCATTTATATTTCATGCGTTTAAACAAGCTCAAATAAATACAATAAATAATAATAATACCGCAACATTACAAATCGACCGGGCTCAAAATTATGCCTTAAAACAATCAAAAGAAGAAAAATCTGCATATTATTACAAATAAATCATTTTATGAGGAACTGAATATGTTCCGAGCCCAAAAGAATCGTATGAATTCAGGTGCTGACACTCTAAAAATAAAATACCGACTTATCCTAGCCATCTTACTATTGCATTCGTCTTATTTATTCTGATCCGTCTCGATTCGATAGATACATTTGTCTTAAAAATAAGATGGAGCCGACTAATCAGGAGTGTGGTTACATCGTCGTATTTTAAGACGGATTATTTTTTAGAGCGTATCTGATATACGGGAAAGGCACCATGGGCATCTTTTTTACCATTTTTAAAAGGATTAGTGAATAAAAATGCCATAAAATATTTGAATAATATTAGCGATGGTCCTGTTAGTCGATATAAAAACAAAGCTATTATGCTTCTAGTAGAACAATTTATAAAACATAATAGAGTTGAAATAAAATGAATTTATTTACAATCATTTTATACAATGTTTTTCTCTTTTTGTATACGTTTGTATTAGGTAAACAAATATGTGATGTTTTTGATTATGCAGAAACTTACACTAGCAGAGTAGGGTTACGTATAAAATTCTCGAATTTTACGTCTGTGGAACTAGTGCCATGATTTCTTAAGAATCTTTGGAGAGAAATCAAAAAGAAGAAACTCTGGTGAGTGAATGGCTTCGGTACTCCCAGACACTCACTATCGATAATAAAAAGCCTAGATGTTCACCCTTTCTTCGAGTAAATTTTCCTTAGAGATACACTTTCATCAGAATCACTCATATATATTTTTTGTTTTTCAAAAATCATGTTGAGCATATTTTCGTTAAATTTATATAAATGTTCCAGGAAAAAATTAAAATCTACGTATGTACAAAACTATGATAACTCAATTATTCGGATTTAAAGTTTGAATTTTGATTTTCTTAAAAGTGCATGATGTTTATGAACATTAGGAGAAGATTATGAACAGTGGTGGTGAGTCAAAAAGCCCTTATTGGACCGAAATATTGTCGTAAGTTCGAGCACCGGTCACAAAACGTTTAAGACCTGTACACCACATGCAGGTTTTGGATTTTGACTCCCAATCAGTGTTCACAATCTTCTCCTGATATTCAGAAACATCATATGCTTTTCGGAAAACTAAAATTCGAACTTTAAACCCGAATAATTGAGTTTTCATGTTTGTAACTAGGTAGATTTTAATCTCTCCTAGATGAATCTTAAGATGCTTATCACAATTAAATTCTCTATTACGTAAAAACAAATCACAAATTAAGCTTTGGATACGTGAATGGTTTACATTACTACATATATCTCAAGGATATGAGATCAGTATACATACACACATAGATAATTTTATCAGAACGAAAACGAACGAATTTTTTATTTATTTTTTTTTACTTCTAGTCAAAACGGTCTCAATCATAGCACAATTTATACCCCATTCTTTCGTTTTTTTTTCTTTCCTTTTTCGTTCGGACAATGTTAGTTTTTCTTTCCCTTCTATCTCGTTTTGTGCATTTCTTTCTATATTCAACTCACAAGCACAAGTCAAATATATATATATATATATATATATTTAACATATACTCATTACATAAACTGTGTACACCTGGACTGTTGCTCTGGATGTGGCCATGGTATTTTTTTTCTCTTTCTTCTATTTATTTAATTGTTATTAAGTGCTTACACATTCAATGCTCATAAATCCAATTCTATTTAAAGTGGATCCAATAAAACAAAGTAAGCTGTGAAAAAAAGCATAAATAACAACACAGTCGTCGTTGAATAGTACTTAGTTAGATTAGTACTTACAAATCGACAACAAATACGTATAGATGGATATAGATACTATATATTCAACTATACGGTGAGAAGTGATGATGAGTTAGAAGAAAAGTAAACAATTTTTTCTAGCAAGGATAAACAGATGGAAGGATTGTGATGGCTTAATCAAATCATTCGTATAATGTCACTGATATATTGTATTTTTATAGACCAACAGTACTAACATGTATTGTATTGTGTCAATACACGCATGCAGTATGATGAATCTAATAATAGAAAATATTTATGAAATAAACAAAAAGAATCATAATATTGTTTTTTTTTTGCAGTTCAGTTTGTTGTTAGCATACAGAAGTTCGTCGTAGATTTTGTTTCATCATCTATTTGAGGGCTACGAGTAATACACAATTAAAGAAAATCTATTAAGTACAAATTTTGACTTCTGAAATTCTTTTTTTTCTTTTAGGTACTTGCATTCTAATATATGGATGATAGTAGCTAATGGATTTTCAAAAAGTCGTTGAATATGCAAAAAAATTTACAGAACGATCAGACAATAATTTTGATGATTTTTTGGTAGATCGTTTACATAATCGATATACGGTTGCAGCATTGATCTGTTTTTGTGTAGCTATATCGTCCTATCAATACATAGGTAAGTATATGTAAAAGTCAGAAATATCTTTACATCAATTAATCTTTTTAAGAATAATAGATTGTAAATTGAGAGCTTTAAGAAAAGAACAAATGTAGGGATTAATAGATTTTGCTGAGTACAAAAGAACTTAGCGAAATAATTAATCGTGTTTTTTAATTCATGAATATAATGTAAAAATATCTGTTGTAGGTAATCCATTGCAATGTTGGGTACCAGCACAATTTACTGACAATTACGAAACTTATACGAATCGTCTGTGTTATATACAAAATACCTATTATGTTTCAAAAGATCATCAATTACCTGATGATCACGGTCTTAGACGCGAAAGAACATTAAAATATTATCAATGGATTAATTTTGTGTTGCTATTACAAGCATTATTTTTTAGTTTTCCACGCATAATATGGCAATCGTTTAATGATAAAATTGGTTTATCACTAGGAAAGTTAGTAGATGCATCAAATAAATATGAATTATTGGACGTCACTCAAGAACGTGGAACAGGTAAACAAAAATCAAATTTTTCATGACACAATTTAATTAAGACAGAGCGATAACGTATAGTTTGTACTATAACATATTGAAATTTTTTCTATTCTAGTTGTTCATTATATATCGGATACATTAAGTCGTTATGACGAATATGTTAATCCAACAGATGATAATTTAAAAGCAGCTCATCGATTCTATCGTCGTATTGTTTTATGTTTTCGTGCTCGAACCGGCTCATCATTAGTTTATTTTTATTTTTTTATTCAAATTTTGTACATAATCAATCTTTTATTCCAGATATTTTTTTTGCAATATTTTCTCAGTTATTATGACGTTAATTATATTCACTATGGTTTAGTAACATTTAGAGCTTTATTCACAGGTAACAATCTTCCAGAAACAAAATTATTTCCTCGTATAACTTTATGCGATTTCAGTATTCGCGAATTAGGTGAAATACATCGTTATACCGTTGAATGTATTCTAGTTATTAATATATTTATTGAAAAAATGTATTTTCTTCTATGGATTTGGTTTTGGATATTATTGGTGGTAACATTGATCCATTTTATTCTCTTATTTGGTCGAGTATTTATATTTCATTTGAGAAAAGCGTTTATTAAACAAAATTTAGAATTAGTGTTAAAAGATCGTGGATTGAAAGAGAGAGAATTAAAAAATTTCATATCAAAATTTCCAATAGATAATTTATTTGCATTAAAAGTTATGGCACATAATTCGAATACATTTGTTGTCGCCGAAGTTCTATATGATCTGTATAATAAGATGATTGGAAGAAGTTCAGATGTATAATATAGAGAAATAATTACAATTTTCTATTGTCTGTAATCTCGTTTATTCTTGGAAACATAAGTTATCGACTATGCTGATCTTGTGACAATGTTAGTTTTTCGAGTAAAAATCCCTTAAACTAAATCCCAAAACTAATAACGAGGCTAAATGTTTAGGTACAGTAACAGTTCTCATCGAGTGCTTTTATTTCATCGTAATCAGCACTTGCAAAAAGAGAAATAAATAGTTGGATGAAGCTTTGTGTATATCAGTACATCAGTGAAGAGGGAACGGTGAAGCAACACGTGTTGTTGGCTTATCGTACTGATTAGTTTTATGTTTATAAACTGTTAATCTCACTATACGGTTTCCATTTATACTATTTGACAGATGAATTTTGTATTTTTGTAAATGTTTTGTTATAAAATTATTCTAGTTTTAATAAAACTTTGAATCTAAGGAGTATCTGTTCTAAGGGTTTAAACAGAGTTCCTCTCTGAGCATTCTTTGTCTTTGACAAACTTGTTTGAAGCTTTGATATGTAAGTTACAGCCATGAAGCTGAATTAGTATCTGTATTTTATATTTCTTAATGATCTATATATTATGTCTTGTGCAGTTATTTATAAGAGAAACCTCTTTCTGGCGCCCAACATTGTTTATCACACAAATATCATTGGTTATTAGTAAATCATATGAACAATTTTTCACACTTACTCATAAAGCCAGTTTATTATGAAATGAGGAGATTAATAACAAAATAAACAAAGTTTTATATTTCAGACAAGGTTTTCTTTCGCTCTCTTTCTTTCTTATCAATATTGTGTTTGTATCATCTTGGTACTTCATGTTCTAAATCGCTGATGATTCATGTTATTCCAGAATCGAGTTGGTCAACAATACAAAAGAGAATACACATTTGGCGAGCATTTCCCTAAACTCGCTAAGTTTATATTTCTACTTGACAATAAAGGTCAAGTGCATGCCGAAGGGGACTATTCATCAAGGAGAGGACGTAAAACGTTTGACGTGGTTGTGAGAAATGGTAATAACACTTTCGCCTTCGGTAATTCAAAAGTGTAATCAAAAGTTAAAACTGTAATATAAATATTGTATGTTGATTTGAAAGATGGACAAAAACTCCATCTTTATGGTCTATTCCTTTTTTAGACAGTAACGGGCGGGCCATAAAGAATGTCGGTCTCAGTATTTCGTTAATATTTCGCTTGGTTTTTATCGTCAAGGCTTTAACTTTTTTTAAAAGATTCGTCGTTTCATTCTCTATAAAAAATATATTGAACATTTTTTTATATACCGCAGAAATAAAGGAAGATAGGTGAAATACTGCGACGTTCCAATTTCCATTACTTTCTAACTTAAAAAAACAGTTTTTCAATTCTAGCTCTTTGTATTTTGCGATTCAGAATAAGAGAAGATGACCGTTTTGTAGCCCTTGGAAAGCTCTACCAATTGGCTATGTTTAAAACTCTTCAGAAGCGCAATTCGTTGAGGGAGAAATGTTTGCTTATATCGATTTTATCAAAAATCGCTGTTTTCAAACTGCAGTTTTCGTGGCATTTGCCAAAATTTTTATAAATCGATTAAAATCAAATATTTTGAGATCCGGTATGTCTTATCTTAAAACAGATTAATTCTTCTATTACATCTAAGGTAACAGCAGTTTATTTAGAATAAACCTGTAGAATACTAAGTACAGCTCTGACACATGACCGAAGTCTTTTACCAGCTAAATAACAGAAAAGAAAATTTGAATTAATCTAAGTTTTAAGCAGTATTTACAAATCTGTTAAAAGTGCATGTAGATTTTCTGTTGAACTGTCATCTTTGTTATCTTGTCAAAAATTATACCTAAATACCTCGCCGATGACTTTGGCTTTATCACTATTGTTCCTACTAATACTTGGATTGAGCTGGGATAATTTTTATTGCCGTCACAGAATCCGTAGTGTAGAGTACGTAGAGAAGTGGAGACAATGGAAAGCCTTGAGGTGTCCCACTTCCCAAACCGAAGTTTGTTGATAACAGATTTTCAAATTCTATTGCTGCTGCCCGTTCATGTAAAAAGGACATCAGCCATCGGATGATATAGTCTGGTAGCTTCAAATCGAATAGTTTATAAATCAGGCCGTTATGCCACACGGAGTCGATGACCTGTTTTACATCAAAAAAGATAATGGCAGAATGATTCTTTTTTCCTAAATTATGCTTTGCAAAGTTTTGAAGACATAAAACATTGTACATTGTGGACTTTTTCGGCCTAAAACCAGCCTGATGTAGCGGCAAAATATTTCTTTTCTCCAAGATATCCATCAGACGATCTTTCATGATTCTTTCGATAATTTTGCCTACGCAACTTAATAAACTAATGGGACGATAACTGCTTGGATCCTCCTTTTTCTTCTTTGGTTCAGGAGTAAAATTCTGTCGGCCTTCTTCCATTGCTTTGGAACATAGCCGGTTTTTATTGAACTGTTCAGTAGTCTAGTCAAATGTTGTACAAGAGGTGTTGTGTAATTCTTCAGGCATCTGTTGTGAACATTATCAGGGCCTGGAGAAGTGTCCTTGAGTGTTTTCAAATAACTAATCATTTGTTTTGTAGTGATTTCTGGCACCTGTCGAATCCATTTTTCCTGTAAATTGATAATTTTCTGCTTAACTATATTTGAGACGTGTTGATGAAACTGCAGGTCATCGGGCTTTGTTGCATAGACCTCGTCTCTAAAATACGTTGCAAATACCTCTGCCTTTTCTCTGTCTGTACAAGCTATCTGATTTTTATACTCCAGTTTTTCAGAGTAAACTTGCTTTGTCCTTTTATTATGATGGCGTTTCACTGTAGCCCAGACTTTTCCAGTATCCATTTTTCGCCTAGTCGAAGCCTCCATTAACTTCTTAAATCTTGTAGATTTTTCATTTTTTATAGCATTTTCTAATAATATCTTTTGTTTGTAATATTGCTCCCTGTCGGCTTCTAAATTCTATTTTTTCCATCGTCGGTAGAGACGATGTTAATCGTTAATTAAATTTGTAGTAGTGTTATTGAGTGCAAATTTTAGTTTTAATGAAGTTATTTAGTGCATATCTTGTCACCTTCACACCTTGTTGTTGGTGCTAATCGCGAACCGACTTTACTGCTGTTTTTGACGAAAATCGCTTCTTGCTTTATTTTTCGGCTCTGTATCATTCTGAATTGTTGTTTTTCGTTTCAGTTGATTTGTTTCTCCGCCCGGAGGCTTATCCCCCATCCCCGATATTGTTGTGGCCAAAATAGCTCAGATTATATTGAGAAATAATGTAAAAAATTAGGGCTTTTTTCAACTATTTACTACGAAAATCTAATATTTTTACTTCGCTAACGGACGCTTAATTAGAAACACGTCTTCGCTTCACGCGCCTAGTAGATTTCTCTCTCTGTTACATCTGAACAGAGAAAGTTCGATAGCTCCATTTCATTTCTACTGACAAGGTAAGAAGAGTAGAAATTTTCCTTTTTTTTGGTAGACTGTAGTAAAATTGCTTTTTATATCAGAAAAACATGTTCAAAGACAACCTGTGATACATGACAAGAAAGGCGACACTTCGTGGCACCAGCACATACGTTTTGATTCTCGTTTGTTGCATAGCTTCATGTTCAAAATAAATATATTTTCGTTGTGTTTGGGGTTAGAAAGTAATGGAAATTAAAGCTTCGCAGTATTTCATCTACCTTCCTTTATGTCTTCTGTATATAAAAAAAATGTTCAATATGTTTTTTATACAGAATGAAACGACGAATCTTTTAAAAAGAAAAGTTAAAGCCTTGACAATGAAAATCAAGCGAAATATCAACAAAATATTGAGACCGACATTCTTTATGGTCCATCCGTTAGTAGCAAGCGTTTTAATAACTCGACCGGTTATATTGTCCTGACTACCACAAAATAGTTTAATCAATTTGAAATTGCCAATACCTTCAAACCGTTAGAAATTCTCACTAAATTTTCATATGGTTTCAAATCAGAAACTTTCGAGGATAGGATTTCGATCTAGTGATTTTCTGGATTCGAATTTCAGGTTTCTACAAGAAAGTTTTGTTCTATTTCTTTCGAACAATAACATTCTCACTACAATCTCTTCTAATACGACATTCTTACGAATAATACTGTTCAGACATTTCACCTGACTTACCATTTTCTGTTTAGGTCGAATGAACTATTGGATCAATCGTAGACGAATGTTAATCGTACATTGCTCGATGACGCTGAATTGGTTATAAATTATTAACTGAATAAACATCAATGTATGAACTATTAGCCGATGGAACACTTGACAAGACAACGAATATCAAGCTTGATGTGTGTGCAATGTTTTTTCCAGGTAAAGATGAAAAAGCCTAGTGAAACTGAATTTTTGAGGAAAATCCACCAATTCAGTTATAACTATACAAAAGCACAGTACTCCAATCTCACTCGAAACTCAACCAAACAGCTTGTAACTCTCAGAAAATACTCTCTTTTCCTTGATTTACATGTCGATAGAGTTAGCAAAGTAAAAACATCTATTTTCTTATTATTGGGATTTTCAGAGGTTTTCTAGAAATCCATCATTAGAGAATATATTAGAAAATCTACGCTAATTTGTGGTAACTGTATTGATCCAACACGGTCTACAGAACATTCTGACCAAGTTTGAGCGCGTTTGAAAAATGGTGAAAAAGGTGTAAACTAAGAAAATTTTGCACCAAAACACAGTCCAAGGTGTGGAATTCAGAATCTGTACGGTCGTGTAAATTCAGGGTTAAACTATTCAACAAAAAATGCTTTTTTCCTAAAATATCGGCTTTTCAGGCCAGTTTTTGGCTAACGATGGAAGGTCTTCCGATACCCAACTCCATTTTTAATTATATTATATCAGTTAATAGTGGAAAGTGAGCTCATAAAAGCCCGAAGAGGATTTGGGCCCATATTACTGCTTTCAAAAGTTATGAATTTTTGTGTTCGACAGAAACATTGTATGCAGTAA